CTTTTATTTGGTGTGTGGAAGGTGTGCGGAAGAGGGGGTAGTCTTATACGGCGAGTATATAACAAACTCTGTATTTTGAGTGGAAATGTTAGGGGGTCATCTTATACGCCCAGTCGTCTTATACGCCGGCAAATACGGTAAATACAACTGTTAGAAAAGCCACACTAACCCCCAGCTCTCCCGCCGTGAAGGTCTTGAGGGAGCTAACTTGTAGGACGCAGCATTTGTGACCATGTCGACCCCCCAAAAACCTTAAAACGGTGTGATGCAAAGCTCTAGTTAGAACCTCCCCCACTCAGATACCTCCAACCAGTGAAAGAACCCCCCACAAAGTGAGATTATCAAGTCTTAAAAATAAAGTTAATTTCAAGCTTTAGTCTTATAAGTTTAGTTTAAAATACCTAAACCATTAGAACTGAATTTGAATTTTAGGCAATAAATAAATTGCATGAGTATTTCTTCAATCCATTGTGGTAAAGAGCCTAATGTGATATAAAAATAGAAAACAGTAGCGGAAACAAGCCTTATACTTTAGTCAGTGTTGACTTAAAGACACTAACTATCCCTTGTTGTAATCCCCATGCTTTCGGAGAAGCCACACACTGACTTCGAAGTCAGGATCTTTCTGTGGCGATTTCACCTGTGGAGACTCCAAGTCATCTATCATCTATAACCGACACACACAGGACCTCAACCACACCAACACTCTACATTTACATGACAATTACGATACGAAAGGGCTTTCTAATCCTGTCTACATTTTATACAGGTTTTTAGTAACTTAATATATAAAGGGAATGTATTTCAACGGTAGTACTCTACCACAAGCAGAAATCTTGACAAATTTTTTTTTTACTTGGAGCTGGCAGGAGTCTTTTTAAAAACAACCTGTTAAAACAATCTATTAAGGCCAAGAAACAAGTCTGATAAGTCCTATGCAGACACTATGTCTGTAATGGGTTATTCTATCTGAAAACAGCTGAAAAAAAATTACGACAGTCGGTATCATCATCAAGGTCACTTTTTGGTTACCATGTAATTTATCTTTTACACGTGGACAATTCACACTTTTGAGAGCACCACGCTCTCTCGTTCTGTAACTGTTGCCTTCTAAACCCACTTGGACCCTGGACATCACCAGTGTGGGCGGGGCTCAGATTGAGGGAGCAGGTTGGCCACCAGCTTAGAAAACACACAGGAAAACGAGCAAATAAAGCAGACTCATGCTTTTCAGAAACAGAACCCAGGTAAGAAGCACTCCGTCCCCTGACTTCTGTCCCCAGGGCCCAGGGACCCCAGGACGGCTGGTCTCTCCTCCCGGCCTCAGGCCCTGAGCACCATCCTCACACTTTCAAGGCAAAACTTCCCGGACAATTCATGCTTTGAAGGTTTTGTTTCATAATATTATTTAAAAAACTTTATAATAGTTATATTTTGCCTTGAATTTTATCTAAACTGTGAAATCAAACACCAAAGATCTGACTTATTTAGTGAACTTAAAAGTCAGCTGATGTAACTAAATTCAACTGTAAGTATCTCGTAGATGCTGCCTCAGATAGTGGGATAAAAAAATTGCTTTAAGAGTTAGGAAAACACTCAGCTCTACTGACTTGTAGAATATTTTAACTGTAGGTCACACTGAGGTCAAACTGGTAGTCTGCCAGCTAAACGTATCCTTCTCAGAAAATTTTTAACTTAATTTTTTCTTTTAACTGAAAGTTACAAACTAGCATTAGGGTTTTGCTTCTGCTACTTGTCAGCACTGAATATATAAAGATAATATAAAATAATACAGAGAACAAACTGATGGGTGCCAGATGGGAGGAGGATTGGGGGAATGGGTGAAAAAGAGGAAGGGATTAAGAAGTAGAAATTGGCAGTTACAAAACAGTCATGGGATGCAAAGTAAAGCATCAGGAATACAGTCAATAATAATGTAATAACTATGTATAGTGCCAGGTGGGTCCTAGACTTATTGGGGGTATCGCTCTGTAAATTATATAAACATCTAACCACTATGCTGTACACCTGAAACTAAAGTAAAAGAATACTGAATGTCAACTGTAACTGAAAAAATTTTAAAAAGGGGGTGAAGGTGAAAAGGAATGTGAGGTTCAAATTTCTAGTTATAAAATAAGTAAGTCATGGGGATGTAAAGTATAGCATAGGGAATACAGACAATAATACTGTAACAACGTATGGTGTGAGATGGTTACGAGACTTATGGTGATCACTTCTTTAGGTATATAGTTGAATAACTATGGTGGACACCTGAAACTAACATAATAGTGTATGCCAGCTATAATTATAATCTTAATAACATTTTTTTAAGAGAAAAAAATGATCAAAATGGAAAAAAATATGATAAGTTTGCATGGTGACAGACGATGCTAGAATTAGTGGAGTGATCACATTTGAAGGTATAAAAATGTTGAATCATTATATTGTACACCTGAGACTAATATAGCTAATATAACATTGTACAACCAACTATATTTAAGTAGAAAATAAAATTAAAAAAAAACCAAAATGTAAAATATGCAATTCTAAATCTACTCTAAAATAAAAAATTATTTAAAAGTATTAAAGTAATATAGAAAGCGACTTGCTCTATTACAGACAGCCAGTAAAAGCCCATAAAGCCTAGAAACTTCATGCTCTGTGTGAGAGGGACACTCCCAGTTCCAGATGAGCCGCCGGGGAAGTGTGGCCGTGACCTCATTCTTTGTCACAGCTGAACAGATGGGACATGCTTCAGCATCCACTGTGTTTGCTGAACACTCAACAGTAAAGCAAAGCCCATTTTCCATACTAAAGAGACGGTGGGGGCGGCCTTCCCAGCTACAGCCCCAGACCTGACCTGGTGTATGAACGAACCCGCTTTCTCTTGTTTGAGCCCCGCACTGAAAGGCAGCTGGGAAGAAGGACCAGGCGTCACTCCCCAGGGGCCTGTCCGGGCCTCTGTTACTTCCTCCCACCCTGTAATGCCATAAGCAAGTTTTCACGTGAGACGCTTTACTCAGAGGGGCAGGCGTGTCCAAGTACGGTTTAAACATAAAAAGTACAGGACACGTGCATCTTTCCCATGAAGAAAAGTGAGGTCAGAAGGATGCAGGTGCTGCGTGAGAAACCGAGAGCCAATCCACAGTATAAGGGGACCTCAATCAAAAGCATGATGCATGTTTTGGAACTAGAAAGTTGCTTTTCTGACCCGCTTGCAAGCCAGTTACTTAAACATCAAAGACCTGCTCTTCTAAGCAGTGATTTCTGCGACCCTTAAAGATTTTCCTGTTTACGATTTCTGTTCCCCAAAATGTTAAGCTGCTTTCTCAAAAACTGGCTCCTCGAGACGGCTTTTGGTTGAACGCTGACTCTGAGCGGGCCGTTGGAGGTAAATCAGCTGAGAAAGCAGGTTTGCATTGTTGTTTCCTTCTCTCCGTGCACGTGTAGGTGCAGAAGCAGAAGTGCCCAGTGGCAACGGTTTCCGATGTTCTGACATGTACACATTCAAAAGGAACTGGGATGCGAATGTCCACTCAGACCAACAACAAAGGAGCCCCCACCCCGAAAATGTTCCACATTCAGTGAACTGTGCTAGGCTTGTTCCCAGGGCCTGTTAAAATTTAAACAAACCTATTTTAAAAAACTCTGGCAGCGGTTCATGAGCTTTACAGTTAAATAGATGCATGCCTGCCCGCCCGCACGCCCACCCGGCTGCCGGCCGATCAGTAGCCCTGCCCTGCCCTGCCCAGCCCTGCCAGGAGGCTGCTGTGCACACGCACCTGGAGCGCCGTGCGGTCCGATAGGCAGTGGGAAGACAGTGCTTTGCCTTCGAGTGAGATCTAGACCTGGACTTGGACGACGAATGATACTTGGGAGAGCGCGACCGCGTTCGAGACCGTTTTTTGTGCTTTTTCTTCTTCTTCTCCTTCTCTTCGTCTCTGGGCGGGTCTCTGCTTTTGCTCGAGGGTCCTTCCGGAGGCCTAATGTCTAAAGTTGGCAGAGGTCGGCCTCCACTCCGCAGAGGCGAGGCCACGGCACTGGCTTCCTGGGGACAGAACCAAACGTCTGGGGTTAATACGGAACATATGACATTGAAAAATGTGCACGTATCAAACTTCAACATTATTGGTCTTCCCACCAATAATGTACCCGCATCTCTTAGAGGGGACCGCATCTCTAAGTGGCTCTAAAGATATCGCCGTGGCATCTCTCCCTGCAGTCTGAATTTGATGAGAGGGCATTGTGTTAGGAAAAGGGCCACGCTTGCTCTTTCATAAATAACTGTGACTTTCCACTGAAAAAGAAACTCCTCAAACCTCGAGCATTCGGTTTTTATGAATGTCTGTACCACTCCAAAAACAATTTTGAAAGAAGGCCTAAACTAAAAGGTTCCTCTTGGAACTCAAAAAAACTCTTTGTCACAAGGAAAAAAGCCTGCGTCCCTCTCTCCCTCTACACGAGATGATGGATGTTAACTAAACTTACTGTGGGGATCGTCTTGCAGTATAAGCACGTCAGGCTATTATGCTGTACCCCTTAAGCCTAAACAGTGCTACATGTTAATAAAACTGAAGGGAGAGAGAAAGTCGATACCTAGTCATAAACACGACAGTGCCAACAGCACAGGTCCCTCTTGTACTGCGTATATTAGTTCAGCACGGCACTGCACTTAAATACTTTATTTTTCATCATAAAAAACCTCCTTATCAGGACAGCAGACACACAGAGAGGCGAGCACAGATGGGAAATGCGTTGTTGTTTTCACAGCAGGAACGCCAGCACCCTCAATGGTGTGCGTCTCCCAGAGCAATCCATATCTAGGAATTCACCCTAAAGAGACACTCACCGAAGTGCGTAAGACGCACGCCTAAGGACCCACATCATATCACCTTATGGTGACCGGGAATTCAAACCACCCGAGTGACCATTCATGGGTCCTGGTTCAGTACGGTACATCCATACATGAAATAGCATTCAATTTTAAAAAATAATGTTGTGATCCTATTTTTATCAGCGTTTACATCTGTCCACATCACACTGTAAAATAAAGAGTCTCCAAACCAAACCCCATAAAACACCACCACCACCACCCAGCTTCAGCCGTTCCCCTTGTCATTCCTCAACTCACTTTAAATGAGCTTTACCTACAGCTGGCGAACACCACACAGCTTGAGGCTACCAAGAAACCCACCATGTATCACTTTGTGCTGCAGGGAAGCTAGCTGTCGGGTCTGCGGGACCGAGTGAGGGCAGGCGTTGACGGGGTGGGCTCCAGCAGGCCGGGCCTCCCCGTGGGCTGCGGGCCGGGCCAGTGTAACTCTGCAACTGCCCCGGGTTCCCTGCTGTCCTCTCCTGGGTCCGTCTGGACAAGGCCAAGGGACGAGGGAAATGAACACTTCGTGCAAATGTTCCTTCTAGACCTGTGTTCTTCCTTCGGCTCCGAGAGGAGCTGCACTGGGCGGGGCAGGGTGGGGGCGCCTGCGCCCCGGTGGTGACTTCTCCATCTTCTGTTCGTTGTGAGCAGGAAGGCAGCGGGGCTGAGGACCTCACCAACCACACGCCCCGTTCCCAAAGCAGTTTCTTCCCACCTAAAGTGACCGAGTGACCGGCGCTGCTGCCTGGGTCCCTCATCCGGACCCCACCGCCCCCTCATCACTGCTGCCCAGGTCACTTTCAAGGCTCTGCCTAAACTGTCTCCAGGGGAGCTGTTTCATCGCGGGACAGTTCTTAGAACCAAAGTCTTTCTCGCTCCAATTCCCTTAGTATAATTACAATTTCCAGGTCAAATTTCTAAATAATCTGTTGTTGTTAAAACAGCTGCAACATGTAAACGCTCCCTAAGAAACCGACCTCCGAATCTAAGAACTCCTGTTTCCACTCAGGCACCAGTCAGGGCTTGTCCAGAAGCACACACACTAGGTGACGCTTTAAATTAAGAATAAAAGAAATAGAAAAGATGGAGCAAGTTTTCCAACTGTAGAGGCTGGAAAACGGGAAATGCTGGCCGAGCGCGTGGCTGCCCCGCCCCAGCAGGCACAGACCAGGGGGCAGCACGCACCAGGCAAAGGACCTGCCCTTGGGATGAGGCACATGAGCGCAGGGCGGCCCCGCATGACCTCGAGTCTGGTGTGTGGCACAGTCAGCTGTGCTGGCTGAGGAGAGCTCCGCTGTGGCCCGGACAGAACACCCAGCTCGTGGTGCATTTGAAATCCCATATCCACGGGCTCTAAGTTAGGAATACACACACATGCAAAGCGAGACTGGAGTCGGGAACACAAGCTGCCACCCAGAGCTTTCGTGAGGGCGCGAGGCCTCACGAATGCCCGGTAGTGGGCAGGGCCTCGCTCACTCCTGGTCCTTTCTGGGCCAGGCACAGGGGTGGGGGTACCCGAAGGACACAGCCCATCTCAGGGAGAACAGCCACAGTTCCCGCCTCACAGGTGGTCTGCTCTGGGATGAGTGACGGAAACCCGGGGCTGACATCTTTGCTCAGTGCTCTTCACCGCCCTGGGGACAGACACACCATGGAGGGGCGAGCCCAAATCCACAGGAGGACTGGTGGCTCGTTAGCTGAGAGTCTATTTCTGTCGTTACTGCCAACCTGGTCACGTGCCTCTGGTTCCCCGCCGCTCCTGCCTTTACCCCAACGCTGCCGGCCTCACCACCACAGTGGAAGTTCAGTCCTCCACCTTCAAGCGAGGGATAATTGAATCAATATTTTCAAAACCTAACTTGTAATCAAGCCATGGACCTATTTATTCTAATGAAACGATTACCTTCCCCGCTGAAGTGAGACTGGCAACCTCGGTGGCCTTGGCCACGGTGAATTAAGATGATTTACTGCGTCAGCCTCGCTGCCGTTTTTCAGCTTGAAAGGACTCAAAGGATGTTAAACACCCAGCAATTAGACCCGAGAACAAAAGCACAAAGGTAACAGACACCAGCACGGAGTCACGGGCTGTCTGCACGCAGTCACAGGACCCGACAGGCCTAGTTCCCCGCACGCCCGCAGGTGACACTGAGCTGCCGCTGCACTTGGGGTTGGCAGTGCTTCTCTTGGTCAGAGATACAGCAGTCCCCCCACCCAGTGTGTCACCCAAGGTCCCAAATATTAAACGGAAAACTTCAGAAGTAAACAACCTCTACGTTTTAAACGACACGTGGTTCCGAGTCCCTCTGCCACCTCGTCACGTGGGCATCTCATCGTCTCACAGCGTCCCAGGGGTGAGTGCAGTGCCAGGAGCGACCTGTGGAGAGGCCACATTCTCAGGCCTCTTATTCCAGCACACGGCTGTGACTGTCCTGTTTCGCTGTTGTGTTGACCTCTTCCTGAGCCTATCTGCAAATCAAACTTCATCACAGGTCTGTACGTACAGGAGTGGACATAGTGTATGCAGGGTTTGGTACATCCGTGCTTTCAGGCACTCCTGGAGGCTCTTGGATAAGGGGGGACACATCCCCACCCCTCCACGGCACCATGACGACCCGCATTTGTAGCAGGGGAAGCAGGCTCAGGTCACGCCCCCCACAAGGGTCCCTCCCCAGCAGCCTGGGGAGGAGCTGGGTTTAGCCCACAGCGTGTGCCTCCCCCAGACAGCAGGTGCCAGGAGCCAGTCTGCAAAAGCACACCACTGGGAAAGATTTCGGGCCACGGCACTGCCCAGACAGGCGGTGGTGGAGGCGGGCTGCGGGAGCTCTGTCCTGGGCTGGGGGCTTTCACCAAAGCCAAGCGGATGGCAGGGGTGCTCACTCAGGCTCCCTGTACTGCGGGTCTCAGGTACCAAGGACAGGCGTGCACCACCAATCTCCCCAACAGCTCTGCAGTGCGGCTGCGTGCAGAGCCGGAGAAGGCGGGGACTCAGGCAATGCCCAGAGTCAGGCTGAGCTGTGGGAAGTGGCTGTCACAGCTATTTGTGACACGAGCCATGGAGCGGTTCCAGGGAAGACCAGCAGGGCTGTGTGGACAGAGCACCCGGCACCCACGCCCCTACCGTGCAAATGCTGTCCGGTGGAGCTCAGGCCACGAGGAGCAGGAGCCGGGCCAGAGCCGTCCACCTCCCCACGAGGCCCTCTCCTCCGTGGACTGAGAACAGGCCTGTTGGGAGGCCCACTGGGGGCAGTGAGGCAGGTCTGTCGCATGTGCGATCAAAACCCCACAGACATAGCAGTCAGACGGGACGAGAAGGGAGAGAGCAGCCAGCCAGCTGTGTGAGCCCACGCTTGCTGCACGCTGCGCTCGCTCTGGGGCTGAGCTGCCCACTGCTACCAGCCACGAGGCAACCGCACACTTGGAATGTGGCCAGTGTGCTCAAGGGCCTGAGCTGTGAATTTTGTTTAATTTTAATTAAGTTAAATTTAAATTGCCATGCGTGGCTATGGCTACCATATTATTACACAGTGCAAATCTCGACAAATAGTAACTTTCGATGTAAATGCCACTTCCAGCTTAACCAGGAAGAGTGTCAACTGCCCAGAAATTTAAAGGGATGTATGAATAACCTGGAAGATACACAGGGCCCCGCTGAGTCAAGCCCTCACCCTCCCTCCCGCGAGGTGACAGGAGCTAGGAGCTGCTGGCAGGAGGCATGGCGCCAGCTCCCCCACCGAGCACGGCTGCCTTTTCGGGATGAATGTTCATGTCCAGCAGAAGTGATCAGAGCACCGGGCGTCATGGCGGAGGGGAGGGCACAGGTTGGTTTTCAGAGAGTTTGCAAGACATCAAGGGGGGGGCTTTCGAAAAATGAGTCATTTATCAGAGTATTGAAAAAGTCACTGCCCCCCATGTTAGTAACACTGGAAAATAATGCTGATCAGTCCTTCGATCACGACAAAGCATTTGCAGACAAATTAGCTCCCAAACCTACAACTGGTATTTCCTGCTGGGGGGGAAAGGGGCTGCCTGATGGCAAACTAACAAGTATTTTTAAATACAATCTTACTTGTGAAGTAATGCTGCAGTGACTAGGAAATGGGATAATTATACATAAGACTCAAGGTTTCAGACTTCTGTCCGCCACTCACAAGCCTCGGCCTGCTGATGCTTTCCAAGGCGCGTCTGCGCGTCCCACTCTGCGGGCACCACCCCCTTGTCTGACCAGCTGTGCCCGTGGAGTGCTCTCACTGCCTCGTCACCTCTGCTCCCATCTGCCGGACACACAGCCATGACAGTGTTCTTCCTGGGCAAATGCTTTTTTGTGTCACTGTCCCACCCTTATGCCCAAGGCTAGGCTCTCCCAAGTCTGCCTTGCTTCCTAGTCCAGCTTTGTCTTCGCGCTAGCCACGCTGCCTGACCAGGCTCCCCCACACCTACCACCTGGGCGTCTCTTTGGCCCAGGATCACCTCTCCAGATTTAGGGAGCTCCAAGGCTCCGCCCAAGCCCCAGGCCTGCTACAAACCTGTCTGTCTGGGGGAGGGCTGCAGGCCACGTGCCTCCTCTGCCCCTGGAAGCCCAGGCAGTCCCCCCGACGCCACTGAGATCTGCTCTGTGCCTGCAGCTGTCTGTCCTGATGGAAATGCTCGTGTGACGTCAACCGCACAAATGCGATTTTATGGTCACTGGGTAAGAACCAGGCTTCTAATTCACGTGGCAGAGCGCCTCGGTGCCTTGAATGCACAGGCTCAGCAAACAGGGCTGGTTTGGGTTCCCATTTCCTTGTCTAACTCTTGTTGGGCCTGTAAACTTGGCAGCATCATTAACCTTTTTTAAGTAATTAAGTAATGGAAAAAATTACTGTTACCTAAAAAAACGTCCTGAAGCCCGTTGTTATGTAAACGATCGCAGGTAAGTCAAAAGGGCGTGATCCAACGTTTCTGGTTTCTCTCCATTTTCAATACACACCCCTCCTCTCCCCACAAAAGTGGTATGTACGGCACGTGCACCAATCTCTAAGGATTATGTACACATTGGCTTTTATATATTTTAAACACTGTAAATGCCTGCCCATGTCGGTAAACATACTTTAAGGCGTCACTTAAAGCTACACCTGATGTCAAACCCGCACTCCTACCAAACCCGTCAGTGGCACCAGGCTCGGTCGCGCAGAAGCAGAGCCAGTGCAAGTGGGGACTTGCGGATTAATGATGGACGCTCCTTACGTTACTGGAGAAAGATGGGTGACTCTGTGAATTGTGCCATGTGTCTAGCTACATGCTCCTCAGACTGAAAAGAAATTCCAAGTGGGCAGAGTAAAACGGACAAAGAGGAAAAGGTTTGCAATGCTGGTGACAAAAAGCCAACACAAAGTAGCAGAGACAAAGACAGAGAGCCAGGAGGAAATGAGCTGAGGCTCCGAGGGCGGTTGGTGCGTGTGCGTGCGTGTGCGTGCGTCAATGCCACAAAACCTCCGTAAAGTTACTCAATATCACTGAGAACTAGAACAGGTAAGTTAGGCCACACAGACACCATTTCCCACTGACCAGACTGACGGGAATTAAAGGCTGATGATGACCAATGCTGGCAGAGGTGTGAAGACACAGTTATGTTCACACCCGTGGAGATGAACGAAAAGCGACAGTCATGCTTAAGCTCAATGAAAAGGCAGTCCCAGGCCAGCTGCCTGATGACACGCTCAGGAAGTGCCCGCACAGGTCCGGGAAGCAGCATTGCTGAGAGCAGCGCGTTACCACAGCAACCCGGCACCTTGCACTGCCGCCCGCCCGCAGGGGACAGTGACCAAGCCACTGCGCGCAGACCGGCTCCTTCTAGGGACTGACACCCAATAATGTTTTCCCAGCGCGTGTAACACGTGGGGCACAGTGCTGACATCCATGTGGGGAGAGCTCTACTAGAAATTTAAACCTACACCTGGGTAAGCGCCTTTTCCCCTCAAGAGCACACAATGGAGTATCATCCACCTTAAAAAGGCAGGGCAATCTGCGAAGTGGAATACAGGACAAACGCTGCATGCCCTCATGTGCAGGAGGGCCCGAGAGTGGTCATTCACGGAGCAGAGGACAGGGAGGGCTGGGCAGTGAGGGTCCAACGGGCAGGTTTCCGCCTGGGAAGGTGGGCTCTGGGAGGACGTCACTGACGGCTGCCCACAGTGTGAATGTGCCTCGTGCCCTGAGCCGTGCGCTTAATAAGGCTTGAATGGCAAAGTGTACGGGTGTCCATTTTACACAATTAGAAAACAAACAAGTAATTGGTGTTTCCCTGGGAATTAAAGGAAAAGCATGCATGAGAAGACCTCTGCTCTCCACCCTGTGCCTTCCCCGACACGCACACACTGCTCTCATACAAGGCAGACGTGACAGGAATCTCCTCCCGTAAGGCGGACACACTTTAGGACCACGCACACCTGCCAGGTGTCCAGCCAGACCTTCCCAGCGGTGTCCCCATGCCGCCTGCACGTGGCTGCTCAGGCAGGTCTGGGTGCCACCCGTTCCCACAGGGCTGACCCACAAAGTGTCAGTCCCTCCAGATGCGAAGACTCTGCAGCTGTGGGCGGGGCCCGACCTGCCCGTTTGCGAGCACGGTGCACAAGGGCCCACGGCGAGGTCAGGCAAACCTGTCCCCAGAAGCTGCCATAGGCTGAAAATATTTCCGAATGTGAATCTCATTTATGACACTTGCCAATTTAATTCAAGTATTTTTGTTTCAAAGCAATTAAAGACATTTATCACCATCTGCTGCTACCATTCCACTTTTGTTGGGATTGTTTAGTAGCTACGATCTCTCCCACTAGACACCCAGGAAAAGCGACCCAGTGATTTAAACAAGCAGCAGAAACACTCATTTCTACGCATTATGAATTCAAAACACATGCTTGGAAACAAGGACGATGGAGACGCCGCACATAAAGGTTGGAGGGTAAAAGCAGCCCAGCTCGTGCTAACGGGGAATGGTTCTGGGGCCATGACGAGCCAGCCCTGTAGATTGGGGAGCTGGATTAACGACGAGTGACTGTGGCTGTGACGGAGTTTTCATTAAAACACAATTGCATTAGAAAATAGAGATGCGACTATGTAATATAATCGGTTCAAGTATCTACATATGCAGATGTATTTTAATTAAGCCCTTTATTCACCGCACAAATGACATCAAAACAATAAAGGAAATTAAAGCAGCCCACCCGCCCCTCCCACCACAGCAGCCGCCCCCGGCTTTCCTAGGTTCCCCACGCTCCTTGCTGTGGACGTAATTTTTAAAGCTGCAGCCATAAAGGTGGAGGCATTTTACACTCTCCCTCTCCCGCTCTTACATCAAAAGCCTTTTCCTGCCGTTACAGGGGTGTCAGTGACCAGGTTTAGCCGCTGCAGGTTTAATTTCCGCAGTGGTGCAGCGGTCTTTCCCCAGCTAGCCAGTGACCACAGGGGCTGCTCCAGGATGGGCTACCCTGGGGACAATGCCGGGAGCGCAGAGGTGGAGCGGCCGGGAGCGCAGGGGTGGAGCGGCCGGGAGCGCAGGGGTGGAGCGGCTGGGTGGCGGATGCTAAGAGGGGCCCAGAGCAGCAACCAGGACACCAGGCCACAGCCCACACTGACACCAGCTTGCGAGGCGGACACTTGCGCCTCCTCCCACCTAGTCCAGCTATTATTTTTGAGGCCTCCTGCCAGATTCGAGAGTTTCAGATTGGTTTTTGAGGCGACAAAGCTGATTCGACCTTCAACAGAGCACTGAAAATCTGAACTCCACATGGAAAACCAACAGGCTCCGTGCAGCAAAAATCCATTTTGAATAACGGCCCAGACTCTTAGAAATGTCAACGTAATTAAAGTCAAAATGTGCAGGGCCCGTCCAATGTGAGGGGGGAAGGCAGCCACCAGACACACTGGGGACACTCGGAGATGTGGTGTGGGCGCTGCTGCGAGCAGCCCTGCAGGGCAGCTGGCTCTGACCCAGCTAAAGGGAGAGAACGGCCAGAGGGGCTAAGTGCGGTCACACAGCTCTGGAAGGCGCCGCGAGGATCTGACCCTGAAGAGGTGACGGCGGCGGCCACCTCTTATCTTTCCTTCTAGTTACAGCACTGACACTGACACGTGCCCGCGCCTGAGAATCTCTGTCACGCGTCCCTCACAGGCGCAGACAGACCCCACGGGCCCCGCGCGGCAGCCACAGAGCAGAGCCTGTCTGCCTGGGGCCCAAAGGCCCGGGTCTCTGAAAGCGCCCAGGCCTGGGTAGGCGTGGGCGTCAGATCCTCCCTGACCAGCGGACCCGTGACAGCGGGCACTCCCGGGCTCTCAGCCACCGCGCCTCCCAAGGGCTGCCATGGCCCTTTGTAACCTACCTCTATGCTGAAGGGGTTCTCCTCAACCTTCCCGACGTCTGCTTCTGGCAGAGGGTTCTTTAAGGTTTGTAAAAACAACGCTGCTTTCCTTTTACGTTCTGCTTGCAGCTGCTTCTCCTTCGACTCCTTCGACGCCTGGGCCAGCTTCTCCCGGGCAGCCGCGGCCAGGCGGTCCTCCAGCTTTTGCTTTGCTTAAGGAATAGACAGAAGGACTGACGGTTAGAGCTAGCAGCATTGCATGAGGCAGGAAAGGATCGTGAAATATGACGCAGTCATGTTAAAACACGAACAAGACACAAATTTCGGGGTAGATTAAAAAATCGGGCAATTGGATTTTGAGAGATGGCTTATAATGCTTATTACTTATTACTCATGCTTATTACTTATTACTGGTATTTTCAGATTTCACTTTCAAAATCAAAGGCAGAGGCTGATGGGCTCCCACCCCAGTGAGAGCCGGGGTGGCTCTCAGAATGGTGTCCAGACACCCCAGGTGGGGAAACCCGGGAAAGGTTTTGTTCCGGATGAGCCGGCACTGCCCAGTCCACACACAGCGAGCTCAGGTCTAGGCACACATGCACGTGAGCAGGAGGCAGCTTTGGGAGCAGCTCCAGCACAGGGCACGTCCGTACAGAAAGGCAGCCTGAGGTTAACAGCCACCTTTTACAAACGCGGCTTGATCTGTTTGTGCACATGCAGAGGCCAGTTACAATAGAACAGGTAAACGCTGGAAACCAATCGTGAAGGCCCTGCTCTGGAGCAGAAAACAATGTCTGGGGTGGGGGGTGGGGCTGTGAGACAGTCACGTAACAGAGGCAGGCGGTGGCCGGGCCGTGACCCAGGAAGACCAGCCTGGGCCTGGGCACCATCAAGGGCCTGATGGTTCTGCTGGGAGATGGTCACACAAAGGGCAGGGGTGGCTCCTAGTCGGACACTTGCCCCAGGGTCACCGCCCAAGCAGAAAGGCCCCTCCATTAAAGTGCCCGGGCGAGGCGGCAGCCCCCCTGCACACAGACTGTCCCCCTGCAGCACTGCCTCTAGGCTAAGGGGTCAGCGCTGCGACTGACAGCTCTGCAAATGTCCACAGGCACCACGCAGCTCCCCCGGGGTCTGGTTCCCGCAGGCTGAGACTCTGGCTGGCAGCGTTGGCGATTCTGGCTTAGTGGGTTAATCTTGTATTTAGGCACTTTTTTCTTTCAAAGGGTTCAAAACACAGACAAACCTTGCTTTGCTTCTAGCTCCTCCTGGGTAAGCGGGGGCCGCTTCTCCTCAACCACTGCACAGGGCGGGGTCACTGCCAGGTTAGCGCTTGGGGCGCTGCTGGAACTTTCTTGGCCTTCTTTGCTTTCTTCATCATCATCACTGTCGTCATCTAGTTTAACACGGTTTTTTTCCAAGGGAAGGAGATCATTCTCTTTGGCCTTGATCGCAAAGCTTATTGGAGCAAATGAAGCTATTGAGAAAAGGTGAGAATGGTTAGCACATTTCCAGGTAACTGGAAACACAGAGCAGAAATCCTCGTGGGCCCGCCGTCCCCACGAGCGCCAGCGGTGTGGGGGACGTCTGCATGGAGCCACAGCTTATACAGGGGGGCCCAGGGACAGTGAGGCCCACGTGCGAGCCACGCCTGAGGGCCACGTCAGGGAGGCACTCCCTGAGGGTGGGTGTCAGCGGTCAGTTCTCTGGGCTCAGCAACAGCTGGGTTTGCCTGTTGGCATGTGATGAGACTCCACCGCGAAAAGGTAAAACAATCCCAACTCTGTAAAACGGCCCTTCTTACAAAGCAACAGTTATAGGAGCCCCTTCATGCGGTCAACTTTGTGCTGGGCATTGTCAGACTGTTCTTACACCAGTAAGAAGGCTTTAAACTGGGCACAACAGAAGTTTAGGTTCAACTGCCTCCCCTAGAATATCTGAGGGTTTTCATGTACGAGAAGAACAAAGGCCCCAGAGGAAGCGCCTCCTTCCCCGCCCCCATCCACCCGACACTCACTCACCGAGTCCCTTTCTCCGTCAGACACTATGGCGACTGGCTCTTAACCACACCTATTAATAAGATGCTGTATTTTTAAAAACCATGAGTTATTATTTATGGAGGACATTCAAGTAAACCACAATGAAGGGAGATTTTAGTGCAAACCAGCCAGCTCTGGGAAGGAAGAGGGTTCTGGGTCCACGAAGGCAAGTTCTAGAAGGGGCTGTGACCATCAGCAACCCCACTTGAACCCCAGGTTCTCCCAAACCCACGTGCGGCCTGAAGCGTGTTACTGTCCCAGGTCTGTGACATAACCCCTCGAGCTACAGAGTGCACCCAGAGTGTTCGGCGCTGGGAGAGGGACACATCAGAGTGACAGGAGCAACGGCAGAGGCTGGCACTGCAGGTGCACGTCCCCAAGCACCCCGAAAACTGCCAGCACGCCGGGCATCAAAGCCGCGCCTTGTTGGGGAGCCAGTGCCACCCAGCTCACTGTGCTCGTGTTAAGACCCATCCTAACCTCTGGGGACACATGCGAAACATTTATGGATAAAATGCTGTGTATGTGCTGGGAACTTGCTCCAAAATGCACTGGGGGCGGGTGTGTGTGTGTGTGTGTGTGTGTGAGGCAGGCAGGCACTGGACCGAGCCCTGCAAAATGGGTGTGTGTGTGTGTGTGTGTGTGTGTG